CACTACATTGTAGCGAATTAGGTATCTTAATATTTCACTACATTGTAGCGAATTAGGTATTTTAATAATTCACTACATTGTAGCGAATTAGGTATCTTAATATTTCACTACATTGTAGCGAATCAGGTATCTTAATAATTCATTACATTGTAGCGAATTAGGTATCTTAATAATTCACTACATTGTTGCGAATTAGGTATCTTAATATTTCACTACATTGTAGCGAATTATGTATCTTAATATTTCACTACATTGTATTGAATTAGGGATCTTAATATTTCACTACATTGTATTGAATTAGGTATCTTAATAATTCACTACATTGTAGCGAATCAGGTATCTTAATAATTCACTACATTGTAGCGAATTAGGTAACTTAATATTTCACTACATTGTAGCGAATTAGGTAACTTAATATTTCACTACATTGTAGCGAATTAGGTATCTTCATATTTCACTACATTGTATTGAAGATAAAAGCAGCATTAACTCGCGAGATGTAAGTGCAATTCTAATGTAACAGAGGATGGCTGAATTAAATATTAATTTATAGGATTTCTTATTACAGCAACAACTACATACAATAGAAGTTTCAAGGGCGACTTTTTTGTTTCACTTAAGGAGCTAAGGGAAAATACATTAATTACATATTTTTGGACGCATTAAAACATCTAGGAACCAATGCTGAATTACGTTACATTCCGTCTATAAACAAAAGCATGTACCTTAAAATGCCTCTCGTTCACAGGACGAAGTTACTGAAATATACACAACTACAAATGTCAAACATAAGTCACATTCAAATTTACAGTTGTAGTATTCTCTCAGGACTACTTATGGAAGTATTCCCTATAATAATTCACATGAAAACTACCTTACTCCAGCTAAGTTAGAATAGGATGACTCTCAGGACTACTTATGGAAGTATTCCCTATCATAATTCACATTAAAACTACCTTACTCCAGCTAAGTTAGAATAGGATGACTCTTAGGACTACTTATGGAAGTATTCCCTGTCATAATTCACATTAAAACTACCTTACTCCAGCTAAGTTAGAATAGGATGATAGTTCTATCTTTCACACTTCTCTAGTGAACTTCTTAGATCATGTGTTTGAAAAAAAATGATTATTTTTTTTAAACGACGCCTATTTTGTAGTTTCTTAAGGATAGAGTAATGTAAACGTTCATAAGGATAAGGTAATGTAAACGTTCATAAGGATAAGGTAATGTAAACGTTCATAAGGACAGAGTAATGTAAACGTTCATAAGGATAGAGTAATGTAAACGTTCATAAGGATAAGGTAATGTTAACGTTCATAAGGACAGAGTAATGTAAACGTTCACAGGAATAAGGTAATGTAAACGTTCATAGGGACAGAGTAATGTAAACGTTCATAAGGATAGAGTAATGTAAACGTTCATAAAGATAGAGTAATGTAAACGTTCATAAGGATAAGGTAATGTAAACGTTCATAAGGATAAGGTAATGTAAACGTTCATAAGGATAGAGTAATGTAAACGTTCATAAGGATAGAGTAATGTAAACGTTCATAAGGATAAGGTAATGTAAACGTTCATAAAGATAAGGTAATGTAAACGTTCATAAGGATAAGGTAATGTAAACGCTCATAAGGATAAGGTAATATAAACGTTCATAAGGATAGAGTAATGTAAATGTTCATAAGGATAAGGTAATGGTAACGTTCATAAGGATAAGGTAATGTAAACGTTCATAAGGATAAGGTAATGTAAACGCTCATAAGGATAAGGTAATATAAACGTTCATAAGGATAGAGTAATGGAAACGTTCATAAGGATAAGGTAATGTAAACGTTCATAAGGATAGAGTAATGTAAACGTTCATAAGGATAAGGTAATGTAAACGTTCATAAGGACAGAGTAATGTAAACGTTCATAAGAATAAGGTAATGTAAACGTTCATAAAGATAAGGTAATGTAAACTTTCATAAGGATAGAGTAATGGAAATGTTCATAAGGATAGAGTAATGTAAACGTTCATAAGAACAGAGTAATGTAAACGTTCATAAGGATAGAGTAATGTAAACGTTCATAAGGACAGAGTAATGTAAACGTTCATAAGGATAAGGTAATGTAAACGTTCATAAAGATAAGGTAATGTAAACTTTCATAAGGATAGAGTAATGTAAACGTTCATAAGGATAAGGTAATGTAAACGTTCATAAGGACAGAGTAATGTAAACGTTCATAAGAATAAGGTAATGTAAACGTTCATAAAGATAAGGTAATGTAAACGTTCATAAGGATAGAGTAATGTAAACGTTCATAAGGATAGAGTAATGGAAATGTTCATAAGGATAAGCTAATTTAAACATTCATAAGGATAAGGTAATGTAAACGTTCATAAGGACAGAGTAATGTAAACGTTCATAAGAATAAGGTAATGTAAACGTTCATAAAGATAAGGTAATGTAAACGTTCATAAGGATAGAGTAATGTAAACGTTCATAAGGATAGAGTAATGT